GCTCTACTTTTTGGCAAGGCCTTCAATGTGGCTTCCACTTCCTCTTTCATCACCATTGGCTCCTGTTCATATGGCACTTTCTGAAATTTTTCAGTGTCAATCAGTTCTTTCTGGCACAATGACTCTGTGTATTCCCTTCATCTTCCTTTGATGCTTTCTGGGTCATTCAATATATTGCCCATAGCATCTTTCAACATTGAGACATGAGGCTTAAATTTGTTTTTCAGTTCTTTCAGCTTGAGAAATGCAGAGCAAGTTCTTCCCTTTTTATGTTCCGATTCCAGCTCTCCGCACATTCCATAAAGTATTATACTTTGCAAATACCTATGCAAAGGCGTGTGACTGTGTGGATCATGACAAGTTGTGGCTGACATTGAGAAGAATGGGAGTCCCAGAGCACTTGACTGTGCTTTTCCGGAACCTCTACCTGGAGCAGGAGGCTGTTGTGCAAAGGGAACCTGGGAGCACTGCATGGTTTGGAATTGGGAAGGGAGTGCAGCAGGGCTGCGGTCTATCTCCATACCTGTTCAATCTATATGCTGAGCAAATTAGCCAAGAAGATAGACTCTGTGAAGAGGAATGTGGCATCAGGATTGGAGGGAGACTCATCAGTAACCTGTTATGCAGATGACACGACCTTACTTGCTGAAAGTGAGGAGGACTTGAGGCACTTGTTGCAGAAGATCAAGGAATGCAGCCTTTAGTATGGTTTGCTTCTCAATATCAAGAAAAAAAAGATTCTTACCACTGGACCAATAGACAGTGCCATACTGAATGGAGAGGAGATTGAAAATGTCAGCAGCTTCATCTTGCTTGGAACTACAATTAACACCCTTGTTACAAGCAGTTAGGAAATAAGGAGATGCCTTGCAATGAGAAAATTTGCAGTTAGGGACCTTTCCAAATTATTGAGGAGCAGTGACATCAGTTTGAGAACTAAGGTGCATCTGATTCAGGCCATAGTCTATCTACTATGGATCTGTGGCTCCATAGACCTGGACAATGAATAAGGATGACAGGAAAAGAATTGATGCCTTTGAGCTGTCGTGTTGGAGAAAATCACTGAACATCCCATGGACGGCCAAGAGAACAAATAGATATGTCTTGGAGAGGGTGCAGCCAGAGTGCTCTTTGGAGGCAAGAATGATGAAGCTTTGCCTCACATACTTTGGGCGTGTTGCCAGAAGGAGCTATTCCTTGAAGAAGGACATGATGCTGGGAAGGGTGGAGGGTCGGTGAAGGAGAGGAAGGCCCTCAACCAGGGGGATTGACACTGTGACTGCTGCAATGCGCTCCTGTGTCAGGAGTGTGAGGACGGCTCAGGACAGGACCAGATTCAGATCTTTTGTTCATAGGGTCGCTGTGAGTCATATTCGATTCAATGACACCTAACAAGAACAACAATTTGGTTGTTCCACAGAGACAAGGATGGTGAACTCTGTCTCATATACAGGAGGCATGTTGTCAGGAGGGACTAGACTTATGGAAAGACATCATGCTGGAAAAGGTCAGAGAAAGAGAGGCAGGCCCTCAATGAGATGGACTTCCACGGTGACTGCACCAATGGGCCTGCCAGATGTCGGGAGGATGGGCCAAAATAAGACCACTATTGGTAGTTGAGTCAATGGCACCTAACAACAACAAATTCAAAGTTTATAACTACCACTTGGCAGCCTTGTATTCTTTGAACTAGCAGACAGACCAGAAGACAAAAGAACTACCATGTCTGTGAGGGAGCTTGAATGGGTAGAAGGATGGATAAATGGATAAGTGGAGGGACAGATGGAAAGGGAGACAAATGAATAGTAGAGAGATGGATGGATGGATGGATGGATGGGAGCAAAACGTGAATGGTGGGTAGACACGATGGGAGGATAGGTGGATGGTGGGTGGGTGGATGGATAGATTGCTGATGAATGCGAGAAAGCGTGAATGCTGGGTAGACAGGAGGCTAGGTGGATGGTGGGTGGATGGAAGGACAGCTAGGTGAGTAGTAGGAGGGGTAGATGGTAGACAGATTGAAGGTGAATGATGGCAGGATTGGGGGACGGTGGTGAGCGCAGTGGAGGAACATGGGAGAATGGTAGGTGGATGAAAGTACAGGTAGATGGTGGACGAACAGGTGACGAGGTGGCTAGTGTGTTCATGGACTGATGAGCAGATGGATGAAAAGGACACAACTATTACAGTGTGGGCGGCTTTGCTACTTGGGTCATTTTACCTTCAAGTATTTCCTTGGGCTGCAACTGACCCTTTGTTTGAAAAGACTGGGGAGGAACCTCTCATTTCCAGGACGAGATCTGATCATCAGACACAAATCTGGCCCCATCCCCCTCCCAGCCACCCTCCGTCCAGTCCTGGCCGCACTGCCCTCCCTCCACCTCTGTAACCCCCGGTCCCGACTTGACAAGCTCTGGGCAAGCACAGGGAGACCAGCTGTTGCCATGTGGAAGGTCTTCAAACTGCAAACTCCAGCAGAGTGCAAGGTGCCAGGACGCAGGACCCCGCCAGAAGGACGCTGTCCCTCCCTCTGCGGCCCACCCAACACCCAGAGGCAGCCCAGGAGGAGGCACCAAGCAGACCTTCTTTTTATAAAGATTTTATTGTCTAACATGCTCGACAAAAAAAAAATTACAGCCACAATCAAGTTATGCCAAAATGATTGAGGAGCACACCATCATCTTTCATCCCTCACGGACTTCTAATGAATTTTCTCTTAAAGTAACAGCTGCCTTCATAGCGTTCTTTTTCCACATAAAAATACACCATATTCTGAAGATACCTTAGGGGAAAAAATGTAAGTTTTTTGTTCTTGGTCCACTTAGAAATTCGATGGAGGAGACATTCAAGGGCCTTTTTACCCCTTTCCAGGAGTACACACGTGAAAGTCTGAGGGACCCCACAGACCACATCAATGCCCAGCGCCCAGGAAGCACCCCAGACAAGCAACACTCCTGAGGCCCTGTATCCGGCAGAGCCAAGCTGGACTCAGCCAGCATGGTGCACCTGCGGATGGTGTCCCCCGGAAGAGAGATTCGCTCTTGGTTGGGGAAGGATCTCCTGGAATGACAAGATGATGGAGTCACATTAGAGTTCCAGGGCTCTTCTGTGAAGAAAGCAACAGAGCTGATTTGGGGCAGGTGAAAGAGAGAGAGAGAGAGAGACTGAGAGAGATGGAGAAGAGAAGAGGAGAGAGAGATGAGAGAGAGAGAGATGAGAGAAGGAGAGAGAGAGAGAGCGAGAGAGCGAGAGCCAGCTGGACCACAAACTCAGCCTTGTAACAGTGGAGCTTTGACCCTAACTGAGGACCTGGAACAGAGACCAAAGTTCAAATCCTGGCTCTGCTCCTTTTGTGCTGCCTGCCTTAAGGTAAGTGACCTCACCTCTCCAGCCTCAATCTCCTTGTCTCTAAAGTGTGGGGGCAGCTTGGTCCAGCAGGGAGGGACCATCTGAGGGTAGACAAGTCCTCAGAGCACTCCCAGGGTTGGGGCTAGGGCGAGGCAAGTGAGGCAGACCTTTCAGGCATAAGCAAATGCTAAAAAGAGCTTACTTTCTGGGCTGTGACCTGAAAGGCGATGGTTCCAAGCCACCAGCCTCTCTATGAGAGGCCAATGAAGTGGGCTCTTCCCGTAGAGACCGGTAGCTCAGGAGACCTGCCGGAGGGTTCCCTGACACCGCAGCCGTGGGCCTGGTGTGTGGACTGCTGGGGGCACAATCATAGTGTGTCAGACTGATAATCAAAAGGTCAGCAATTCGGACCACCCCCATGGGAGACAAATAGAGCCGCCTCCTCTGGCACAGACTTCCCGCCCCAGAAGCTCATGGAGAGTCACTGAGAGTCAAAATTGACCCAGGGACAGTGGGCTGATACACTTTTGATGCAATATTTTTTTTTAAAAAAAAATGAAATCCATGCTGAAATGTCATAATTGTAAACACAGACCTGCCTGGCCCCATGTGTCCTCGCCTAAGGCCAGCCCTCTGCTTTCCTGCCCCTCAGAGAGGCACCGTCGTCCCACCTTGATTTAAAGAGGGGGCTGGAGCTGTCAGGTGGGGCTGCTGGAGGCCAGGTCAGCCCTGTCCCCGTGCTGCCCTCTTTACCCAGAGCACGAGGACTTGAAGTAGCAGTTCCACCTGCTGCTGCTATGGGCACGTCTCCTGGAATCTGAGGTGTGAGGGGACAGAATTGGAACTGAATTAATTCTGTGTGGAGGAAGTAATGAGAAACACGAGGCCGCCTCGTGCGTGCATGTGTGCGTCCCTGTGTATCACACACGCGTGGGGTCACAAGTGCACAGGGCTGCAGCTGCCTCGGTCTAGACCCCTCTAACTCCCAGATGTTGGGTCCTACAGTGCAGTGCAGCCTTCCCACAGAGTCAGGGATGCCCTACCATGACATTGAAGCCCTCAGCCAGTCCTGGACACCCCAGTGCCTCAGTGCATAAACCCTCTTGCAAACTCTAGGTTACCGGGGAGTGGTCAGGATTCTCAGGCCACCGTTCAAGTCAGCAAAAATGTCCACAGGAAGGGAAGGGGCAGCAAGGCAAGGCCACGTCCTTGGGGCAGGGCCAGGTGCTCCTCAGATTCCCGAGATGTCCCTGAACACCCCCTCCTGCCAGGGGCTTAGCTGTAAAGCAGGCCTGAGAGGGTGATGCTTGAGCGACACAATCTCCCAGCTCCCCCAGCACTGGGCTCCCAAGCACACAGCCCCTCCCTCCATCAGAGGGCAGTTTTGTGCAAGAATTTCCAAGATCTGACCCAGGACACGCAAAGGCAGCGGCTTCTTGACCCACGAGGGTGTCCAGCAGGGAAGCGTAAGGAGGCAGTCACCCCCAGAGCAAGCTGGGTCGTGAGCGAGTCGTCCTTTGAAGAGGTACACACAGGATGCACACGCAGAGAACAGTGATGTAGGGGGTCCTGCTGGGGTTCCCCAGAGCCCCAACTTCTGGGGGGCAGGAGGCTGAGAAGTTGGGGGTTCACTTCCTCTCAAGGCCTCCACCGTCCCCACAGCCAAATGGGTCATCCCAGCTGCTGCGCAGGGGTGGAGGTCCATGCTCTCAGCCAGGGGGGCATCGCTGATGGGGGCAGGCAAGGAGGGGCGGCAGGAAGCAGTCAGGAGTTCCGAGGTGTGGGCAAGTCGATGACTATGGGGGGATTCACAGGCTGGTAGTTCACAGTGCACACGGATGCGTTCACATAGGTGGTCGTCCCATCTGCCATGACTCCGTACCCTGGGGGGCAAGCACACAGCCATTGGGCTCGGACCGGGAGAAGAGGGCACCTGGTGGTCATGTGCATGTATTCAGCCACTACTGGCTAATTAGGCCTGGGGCCAGCTACCAAACACCTCAGCTGGGTTTCCTCATCTGTGAACTAGAGGTGATAGATTAACACTACTGCCAGGTGTACTTTGAGGATAAAAAGAGATCATAATCTACCCACAGAGCCCAGCACGTGGAAATCACTCTCTGAGATACTATGCAGCAATTACCATGACGACCACCCTCATTCTCATCATCACCACCATCATCTTCACCACCATGCTATCATTATGACGACCATCATCATCACCATCCTCACTATCAACACAATGACCATCATCACCCCACCATCATCATCATCATCACCATCACCACCATTCTCATAATCATCATCATGACCACTATCACCACCACCACCATCACCACCTCATCACCACCATCATCACCATCACCACCATCATCACCACCATCACCACCATCATCACCACCATCATCACCACCACCACCATCATCACCACCATGACCACCAACTTCATAATCATCACCCTGACCACTATCACCACCACCATCATCATTATCATCACCACCTCATCACCACCATCACCACCATCACCACCATCATCTCCATCACCACCATCATCTCCATCACCACCATCATCTCCATCACCACCATCATCACCACCATCATCACCATCATCACCACCATCACCACCATCATCACCATCATCACCACCATCACCACCATCATCACCACCATCATCTCCATCACCACCATCATCACCACCATCATCACCACCATCACCACCATCACCACCACCATCATCACCACCATGACCACCAACTTCATAATCATCACCCTGACCACTATCACCACCACCATCATCCCCACCATCATCATCACAATCACCACCATGGTCACCATCTTCATTATCATCACCCTGACCACTATCACTGTCATCAGAACCACCATCATCATTATCATCACCACCATCTTCATAATCATCACCATGACCACTATCACCACCACCATCATTCTCACCATTACCATCACCCTTCTTATCATCACCACCACCATCATCATCATCACCACATCACCTCCTCATCATCATAATCACCACTATTACCATCATATTACACCATTACCATAACCACACCATCACCACTGTTATCACCACCCTCATTATCAGGTCTCATCATCATACTTTCATAATTACCACTATCACCCTCATCAAGAAGCTCTGATGGCTTAGGAGTAAGGAGTGGCACTGCCAATCCAAAGGCATGTGGTTCAAATCAATTATCTTCTCTCTGGGAAACAGATGGCCACTCTCCTCCCATGCAATTGCCTGCCTCTGAAAACCTGTTGGGGGGTCAGTTTTAGGTTGGCTCCAACTCGAAAGAAGTGTAGTCAGAGGGTGCCTTAGAGGCATGGATGAGGGAAACGCTCTGCCTCACATACTTTGGTCATGCTGTTCAGAGGGGCTATTCCTTGGAAAGGGATGTCATGCTTAGAAAGGTGGAAGGTCAGCAAAAGAGAGAAAGGCCCTCCTCAAGATGCAATGGCATAGTGAGTGCAGCAATGGACTCAAGTATATCAGAGAGGATGAGGATGGCACAGCACAGGACAGGGTTCAGATCTGCTGTTCATAGGGCCACAATGAGTCACACTCAACTCGATGGCACCTAACAGCCACAATGTCATTATCATCATCACCATCACCACCATTAATACCATGATCACCACAGCCATCACTGTAACCGTTAACATCAGCATCACCATCTCCATGACACCAATCACTCTAACCACCATCATCAAAACCACCATCATCATCTTCCTCATGACCTGACAATCTTCATTGTCATCAAAGTCACCCCATCAGGGAACTCTGGTGGCTAAGCGGAAAGAAGCTGTGCTGCCAACTCAAAGTCGTGATTCTAATCCACCAGCTGTTCCACGGGAACAAGAAGGGTCATTTCCTTCCATGCAATTTACAGCTTCTGAAAATCCCCTGAAGCCTAGCTTTGGGTCAGTGCAGCCTCAACAGTACATAATTACAACAATCACCATCATCACATCATTACCATAACCATCACCATGACACCATCACCACTATTATCACCACCCTCATCATTACCATCATTGCCACCTTCATCATCAACATCATCATCACCACCATCATCATCATCACAATCGCCACCCTCATCATCATCACCATCACCACCCTCATCATCACCATCACCACTTTCATCGTCATCACCACCCTCATCATCACCACCCTCATCACCATTACCACCTTCATCATCACCATCACCACCTTCATCATCACCATCACCACCTTCATCATCACCATCACCACCTTCATCATCACCATCACCACCTTCATCATCAACATCACCATCTTCATCATCAACATCACCACCCTCATCATCACCATCACCATCATCATCACCATTACCACTTTCATCATCACCATCACTACCCTCATAATCACCATCACCAACTTCATCATCACCATCACCAACTTCATCAACACCATCACCATCTTCATCATCACCATCACCAACTTCATCATCAACATCACCACCATGACCATTATCATCTTCCCAACTATCATCATCATCACAGAATCATCACTACCACCATCATCCACCTCACCCTCATCACCATCAGTATCATAACCATTATCTTCATCATTCTACCAACTGTCTTCCTCATCATGTGTCTTCTCTTAGCATCTGCCTCACGTCTCTCTTCCCATCAATGTCTACTTGCCTGAACTCTCCTCATCCTTCACGTTTTTATGTTTACCTCCCTTTTTAAAAAAAAATTGTTAATTGTGATTTTAATGAAAGTTTACAGAAAAGTTTTCATTCATTCACTGCTGCACAATTTCCTCCATCCACCTCCTTCCTTTCTCTCTGTCCCAGGGCTCTTTGCATTGTACCTCTCATTCTAGATCACTGTATTATATATATGACCTAATCATGTATTCCTTTCCTTCATTTCAGGTCTCCTCCAAACCATCAAGTATTTCCCCCTCCTCTCAGGCAGGTGACTCATTCTTTTCTGCACAAACATGACAACTGGGATTCAGTCACATGCTGCTCTGCGTTTGATGGCTCTGCATATTGCTGTGAGGCCACAGGAAGTGGTCCTTATAGTCAGTGAGCTCCTCAAGGGCCAGGCTAAGTCTGCCTCCTTCTGCGGCCAAGGCTACATCTTAAAGAGGCCCTGGGGGTTTGTCCTGAGGTTCGTCTGTGCCTGGGAAATGATGCAGTGTGGAGGAGGCAGTATGGAGGCCTGAGGGGGCTGTTACAACAAGCAGGGGCCATAGCCATGACACTCACAGTGCCATGGTCATGTCCAGGTGCCTTTCCACCAGGCAACCAGTCCCCTCCTCCAGGAAGGCACAGATCCTGACATATTAGGATGCGTATTAGAAATGGGCATCTCCCTGAGGGGTTCAGATATCAAGGAGGGGTGGTGGGGTTGCAGGGAGCCCCGCACCCTGCTGACCTTCATGGATGTGGCCGAAGACATGCAGCCGCGGCTGGACACGCCTCTGGACCGTGTTGAGCAGCTCCACACAGCCCACCCGCTGCATCTTCTTGGGGACCCAATCCAGGAAGCCTGTGCAGGGATAGAACACAGGGCTGTGCTGGGTCCTGGAGGGCCAGTCTCCACTGTCCAGGTGGCAGCTCTGGCCACTGTGGGGAGATGCAGCAGGCCCCAGACTCCCAGGCCTCGATAGCTCCCACCCCTGCCCCACGTCAACCTACAGGGACAGAACCATGCCTCTGTCCATAGCAGTGGGGTTTCCTGCCCGCAGTCTCGCTGGTCCCATCTTCAGAGTGCAAAGAAGGTCACCTGCGGTCACCATCAGCAACCAGGGCAGATGGGCATGCAAAGCAGGAATGCTCACTGTCTCTCACTGGTTCTCCCAGTCCAACCATGCTCCATGTGGCCTTGAGGGTGACATGTGCCCAGTACAGAGATAGGCAAACTGAGAGTGGGCAATTTAGCCCAAGGGGGCTCTGTCAGCTGGTGGCAGAGCAGGGCCCAGCACGCTCAGTCCCCTCGGAGCAGAGAAGCTTTCTGAGCACACCCCCGACAGGCTGGTTCTGTGCAGCCTGGCTCTGTGGCCACATCTGCTTGCACCATCGCACCACCACCTCCCAGAGCCGCCCAGATGGTGGATGCTTATTAGCCTCACATGGCTACACAAACTAAGAATAATTGATTACTCCAAGCAAGCATTAGAGTTCACCACGACCCCTTTCTGTTTGGGTGGGTGAAGCAAGCGTCTCCGAGTGCTGGGACAGAAAGGGGCTGCCTTGAGCTCAGGGGAGGGGGCTGCAATCCATTCAGGACTAAAGATGGGGAGAGGAGGAATGAGGGGGAAAGAGAGGAGGAGAAGGAGAGAGGAAGTAGGGACAGAGAGAGGGGAGAATGAAAGAAGTGGGTGTGAGATATGCAAGGGGGGCTAACTCCCCTGCCCTGGGACTTAGTGGCTGTGTGACCATGGACAACAGGTCAGTTGACCTCTCCATGCCTCTCTTCTGTCCATTACACCATGTGGCAACCATTCAATTCACAATCAGAAGTGCTGCTGGGTACTGAGACCCCACCCTTTTGCAAGTCCCAGCACATGCTGGATTGACCTTACAGCAGGGAGATGGGGCACAGGCAGGCCAATCACAAAGTGATGTGAGATGTCCGCACACCAGGAGCTGAATGTGGGGGTCACATGGACATCCTCGCACTAGGAACTGTATGTTATATGGACAGTGGCCAAACTGGGGCACCTACAGAGCAGGAACCCAAAGACACTATCACTGAATGGATGGGTGGATGGATGGATGGATGGATGGACAGGTGGATAGACGGGTGGCTAGATGGATAGATAAATGGATGGATGGACAGACAGGTGGATGAATGGGTGGGTGGATGGATGGATCAAATGGATGGATGTATGGATATAAAAGAAGGAACAATTCCACTACTGGGAATATACCCTAAAGAGACCATAAATGGCATCCAAGTAGATATATGCACACCCATGTTTATTGCAGCTTTGTTTACAATAGCAAGGAGTTGGAAACAACCTAAATGCCCAACAACAAATGAATGGGTAGAGAAGCTGTGGTATATTCACACAATGGAATACTATGCTGCATTGAAAAACAAGGAACTCATGCAATATTACTCAAAATGGGTGACCCTGGAGGACATTATGCTGAGTGAGGTATCTCAGTCACAAAGGGACAAATGCTATATGGTGCCACTGACATGAGGCTGACATCAGGATGGGGGTAAGACTGAGAAAAACTGGATGAAATATGTTTATGGCATTGAAGTCTTTGGGGGAGAGAATATTTTAAAAGTATTATATTTTAGGGTATTATGTTTATCGTAAGAGTATGGAATGAGGGTTGCAGAGTGGATTATATTTGGGGTTGGGGGATGTGGGGGGGGAAATCGCGTACCAATGAGGGAGTTTTTCTTTTGCTTTTGAAGGAGAGGAGCAAACGGGGGAGAAGGGTGCAACAATGAATGAATGGAATTCCAAAATCTCTGTAGCTGTTCATTGAAATGAAAAATAATTTTTTTTAAAAAAGGAAGGAACAAATGGTAGGGAAGAAAGGGAGGCAGGAAAAAGAAAGGAAAAGAAGAGAAGGTGGAAGAAAAGATCAGGCGAGGTGGCAGGGGCTTGGATCAGGGTGGTGGCAGTGGGCAGAGTGGAGGGGGTTGGGAGCTGGGGCCGGCTGGGATGGGTTGACGGATGTCCAGTATGGAGCCTGGAGGGCACCCTGGTGGAACAGAGCACACAGGCGTGCGTCATGCTCTGTGCAGCTTCTGCACAGGGACCTGGCTGGAGGGACAAGGACCTGGCACTATCTCAGAACTCTCCCAGCTCAGCTGCCACAGAGATGGGCTGGGTAATTCTGATGTCCTCACACAGGCACAAGCAGCACATGAGAGAACACAGCAAGCCACCAGCACAGCAGGCACTCAGCTAATGAGGGGACAGTGGGATGACTTGTTCCAGGGGCCCCAGATGTTGTGTCAGAACGGAAGGTGTTCAGGCCACCAGCCAGGCCCAAGCAGCAGCTGCCAACCCCATCCAACACACACGTGCACACAGACACACACGCACAAGCACACACACGCCCCACGATTCCCCTCACAGACCCCCTTACCCAGCGGCGGTCCATGGGTTATCAGGATGTCTACCCCTTCAGGAATGAGGTTCCATTTCTCCAGCAGGGCTTGGCCTCGGGGGAGATTGAAGCCCCAGCCATAAAACCAAGGCTGCCTGCAGGTGGAGAGGAGGCAGTCAGAGGGAGCTGCAGGAGGTGGGGAGTTATCCTGTACCTAGAAACCCCTAAAAAGGTGCAGGTTTGCCCTGACGAGCTGCAGGGCTATGCCCACCTTCTCCTCTCACCTACCTGTAGTCTCCATTTCTTTCTCTAGGGTGAATGCTACAGGTGGACTAAATTATGAACATTAACCATCTAGCAACTGCTCCAGAGACCTTTTCTGAAGGAACCCAGAGAGAACATTATCTGCTCCACTTCCTCTTCCGGAATATTCTCAACTGTAATGCTCTCTCTTGAGGACATCCTCCTCCTCCTCTCACCTCCCTCTCCTAGCTGGGGCCGGTTGGGCACCACAAGGCCAGAGCTGATCCCAGGGGGACAATGTTCAGTCTCTGATGCCACCTGAACTCTCAGCCAGCAGGTCTGAACCCGCCCTCAGCTCCAAGAGTGAAGCAAGATCTAGACCTATCAGTGCAAGTGAGTCCATGGATTAGGTCACTGGTGAGCATGTGCCTCAGATTCTTCCAACTGGAGAGAATCCCAGGCCACGTTGTCACCCTTGTATAGAGAGCAGGGAGCAGCCAGCCATGAGAGCTGACCTCAGACACTGAGCGACCCCAAGGGGAGCCAGCTGGATCACACCACGCCAGGTACCCATCGTGCCCCTGCACACCCCACTACATGCCAACAAAGTCCCAGCCTAACACCATTTGAATTGGATATTTTTTTTGTCACTTGCAACAAAAGCATCCTTACTGATCATCAGAAGGGTCTCTTGGGCTTAAACCATTATAAGATCCCATATAAGCAAAGGCCTTCAACAATTACTGAGTCATCACACCACTACATCATTTCACCATGCCAACTATCATCACCACCACCATTACCACCAAACCACTATCAAATCACCACCATCCCATCATCACCACCATTATCAGCATCATTGGAATTATCACCACCACTACCACCATTATTGTCACACCATTACCACCACCATCACCTCCTACCCACACAGGCCAGACCTTGTGGGTCTGCGGAAAATCAAAGGTTCTCTCTACCCCGGAGCTTACTCGTCCATTTACTCGTCCACACACAGAGGATTCGATTTCAAGGGAATCCTGGTGACATGGAACAAGGGGCTGAGCTTCTCTCCATCCCCAGTTTTCCTAACAATAGGATTGTTGACAAGATTAAATCAATCAACCCATGTAAATTACTTCAAACTAACTCTGACTCAAAGAAAGTTGTCATAAACTGAAGCTCATCACCGTCTCCCTGGCCATTTCCTCCACAGCACTTATCACCACGGGCACCCTTAGCATCACCACTGTCACCACCCTGCCACTACTATCAGCACTACCTCAATATCACCGCCACCATCAATATCATCATCGTCATTATCAATATCAGCACCATCACCACCATCATCAATACCACCACTATCAATATCACCACCATCATCAATATTATCACCATCATCAATATCACCATCACCACCATCATCAATATCACCTTCAGCACCACCATCAACATTAGCACCATCATCACCATCATCATCAATATCACCACCACCACCATCAACACCATCATCAATATCATAACCAACATCATCATCATCAATATCACCATCAGCACCATCATCAATATCATCATCACCACCACCATCAATATCATCACCATCATCAATATCATCACCATCATCAATATCATCAACATCATCATCAATATCATCACCAACACCACCACCATCATCAATATTGTCACCATCACCACCATCATCATCAACATCACCACCATCATCATCAATATCACCGCCATCACCACAGCATCAATATCACCATCACCACATCATCAATATCCCATCAATATCATCATCACCACATCATCAATATCATCACCATTATCAGCATCAGCACCATCATCAATATCACCATCATCGACAGCAGCAGCACTATCATCAGTACCACCACCATCATTCAGCACCACCACCATCATCATCAATATTATCACCACCACCACCACCTCATTGAACCATCACCACCACCACCACCATCCCCACTATCAACATCACGATCACCGATGTTACCATGCAGCCCTCTTGAAATCCATCCAATGCATCTGGATGAAGATTTTGGCCTACAACAGTTTTTCAGAGTTCAGTGTGGTCACTACAGCACTTAGGGGAAAAAAAAGAACAAACAACATCAGACTCCGTCATAGTAGGAAAAGAATCCATTCATTACCACGGCCATGCAGTCAGAGCAGACCACCCCCCAAACTGGGCTTCTGAGGTTGTAGATCTCTTGGGAGGAGACTGCCTGTCTTTCCTCCCAGGAAACACATTTACACTAAGATACCTTACAGGCATGTGAACTGAGTCACAGTGGAAAATGTTTTTTTTAGTATGATTCTTGGTCAGAAAAGTTAGGCAGTCCCTGGCCAGTCCTCTCAAAGGACAGTCAGTCCTGTTATCGCCAATATGCCCGAGCTCTCATGTCCGCAGCTCCCCTGTCCTGAAGCACTTTGGGGACCGTGCAGGGATGTGCAGGGTGGAGCTGCTGCGGGGAAGGCACCCCAACTCAATGCCCCTGTAAGAACACAGCCATGGGCAGCCCTGTGGTCCCCAGTCTCCGGCCAGATGACAGGAGAGGAGGTGGGGCACCACTAGTGCCCCCTACACACACAGGCTCTACTTTCAAACATCTAATCAAATATCTACAAGGCAGGATGAGGCCACACTAACATGGCCAAAGAAGTTTGTCAGCTCCTGTGGAGCAGGGAGTGGTTTGTGGAAGGGCATTCCCAAATGTATATGACACGGCACAGATGCCCGTGAACTCTCTGCCGATCCTGGGGCCACCTCCCTGTCACCCGGCACAGATGAGCTTCAGCTCGGGTGACCGGTCCCCCACGGATGCACCTGTCTGGTTCTCGGAAACGCCTCACCTGAATCCTGGGAGGCTGCAGCCACACCCCCCTCACTGATGCCCAGAGACGTTGCTCTACTACCCACACAGCAGGTTCCTCGCCAGGTGGAAAATCAGGTATGCACCCACCCCATCTCATCTCAGTGTCTGTCACCCACCCCACCCATCTCTGGAGTCCTCACAGGCCCAGGACACAGAACCTTGCCTGGGGATTGGGGGCAGCTCTGTCACTCACATCTGTCATCTGACACCAGGGCATCAGATGAAGGGGCTGCCCTGTCCCCTCTGATGGATGGATAAGGGTATGTACCAGAGACCTGCCCCCGGGCTGTGCACTTCACCTTGTCCAGCTTCCATTTCTGAAACGAGACAACAATGCTATGTCCCAGGCGTACCCCCATGTGCACAAGGAGGGTCCTTGCTGCCCACTGCTGTATTTCCATGACACAGCACAGGGGGAAAGAAGGTAGGAAAGGATGGAGGGTGGGAGGGAGGAAGAGGAAGGATGGAAGG